CAGCAGATTTTTTTCCTTGATGTGCAATATTCAGAAGGAATTTTCTGCCATTAATTTGATGAATTTCCAAGAAAAATAAATGTATGTACATTGTTGCTCAAAGTTAACATACCTACATGTACATGTGGATATCCACTCATGTATACCACTTTCTACATGTTTAAAAAAAAAGAATATTTGTACTCTACATCAAGTATCATTCTCTTTTCGTAAACTGAAACATTGATCATTTTGTTTGAAACTTTCCAACATAATTTTCCAACAAAACAGATTTTTGCCAGCTTATTCCAGAAAGAACAGATTTTACATTTTTTTTATAGGAGAATGTGAACTGTTATCTTTAAAAGGTATCTTTAAAAAAGAAAAGAAATAGAAGGGGGAAAAAGTTGAAATATGTTGTAATACTTAAAAAGAAATATGTATTAGTTATGAACATTCCTATAAATAGTATAATTCTTGTCATATAACTTATGGAACAAAAATATTAAAGCTTGTTCTTACAGTACATGTATAACTATGCGTACTCACTTTAATGGTTTATAAGATAAGTGAACTGTGAAGTGTATTTCACTTATCTTCCCCCAGTGGTTTACCTTCGCATTTGGAAACGAGACCTAATTTGTAACTGAATCAGTGCATGAATTATACCTGTACACTTTATTTTACATGTACGTAAAGATTTATACTATAAACCATTGATTGCTTATCATCTGTAGATAAGATGCATGAATACTTAATATTGTTATACATGTTTTCATCTAAATTGGATCCACTGATATTTAGGAATACATGTATACATACCACGATCATTCCTTAAAATTGCCCTGTTAATATAATGTTTCTCCCTAAGAAAGAAAAGGCCTTTGGTAGTCTGCATGGGTGCAACAGAGGATACTTGAGCATTATGAGAAAAAATTATTTGTGGATATGCTGCGTGCAGTCCTGCCTGGTGAGAAGAGTGCATTACCATGAATACATACATTTACATTGTTTTTGTACAAATGTTTGCCAATATTCATGTACTGCATACATTTACATGTATCTCCCCAGAGTTGAGCTTTTTGCACAGCAATGGTTGTTTGATCATTGTTCAGAGGCAAAATGAAATATCACACGTTCTGGATTTTTCTCTAGTAAAGTACATGTATGCATTTCAATTGTCCAGTTAAGCAATCTCACAAGTAATTTTCATCATTTATTTTCTCTGCTTGTTATTTGCATTTGTTGAAATTTCTGAAATGTAGAAATTAGAAAAGGAGAACGAATTTCACAGTGAGAACATGTGAAATGAACTTTGAAAAGTGATTACTTTATACTGTATCACAGAGTCCAAAGTCTTATCAGAGCTCCGTACACATTACTTAAAATGCAGTTTATTGTAATAAATATAACTATTGTACATGTACTATAACTTTTCCATACTTCACCAATCTTGCTGAAGTTTTTGACATAGTTTTAATTTTCTACCTGTATTATCTTATCTTAATAGATATGTCATTCATTTGATTAGTTTGTGTTTTTCCTGTTTTAGTGCTAAATATAAGGATATGTAGACTCTCTTCACATTGGTGATGGATGCTATGCATTGAATCATTTTGAATGTTTATTAGGAACGATAAATGTAGTTATAAAAAGATCATTTCATCAATCAAAGTATCAAATCATTATACACTCATCTAAATGTAGGATGTTAATGCAAAAATAATCAGCCCCCCCCCCCCCAAAAAAAAAAACTGTCTGTGTATGTGCGTCGTCTACATGAAATGTACATTTTCTACAAAGAAATCACTTAAAAGTGATAAATATTGATTTTAATGGGACTGAATGAAATCACTTTAATTCCGTTTGGAAATTTACCCAAATTTTCAAATATGGAGAAAGTACTAATCATGTTATTGGTCTTTGCCGATTCTCTAAAAAAATAGTAATATATATAAAGGTAATAGATACAAATATTTGTAATGAAATAGATGACAATCTTTCAAATTGGATAAAATGTTATATGGATATTTGATGGCATTTATACATGTATGGGAGCAATTTTACCTAGCACTCTTAATTTATATAATTTTAGTTATGGTATGACCAAGTTTCATATTTTGATAACCAACCAAGCTAGCATTAAAATGTACAGATCAATTTTATATATATAATTAACTTATTGCTACATATGAAAATTACAAATTTTAATTGGACCTATATGGACTACATGTATGTGTGTCAAATGCTGAAAGGAGAAATTATAGTCATATATTATGTTACCATGAAAAGATATTAAATGATTTTGCTTACTTTACTTTTATACATACTCTTTCATTGTTTCACAATTCATGCTTAATAAATCAAAACTCAAGATTGCAATGGAATTGTTTCAAAGTTTGCTTCATTCTTTTATTGTCAAAATATACATTTATTACATTCTACTGGACAGTTAATTTTGAACATTTTGCATAAATTTGACAAGGCATGAATTGCATTGCCCTGGATGACAGGTTAATTTGAAAAAGATAGAAATAATTTTCCTTTGAAATAACTGTTGATGCAGGAGCCAATATTTGATAATATGTGTAACTGTCAAACATGAAATTCAAGTACATTTGTGCGTAATATTTATAATTCTTCCTATATTCATGAACAAAAACATGGTTGGCATTTTACACGAACAACAAGTTGACAAATAATAAATGCGTTTATTTTTAAATCCATTTGGGGTGCGGTACATATTCACTGAAATTATGAATAAGTAATAGCACCTCAAAAGGTTTTCTATAGCACTGTACATGTGTTTTGCAGTAGAAAAACAACCAGAATTTCTTTTGTGAGAAATGAAGAAATTGATCATGAAATACAAATGAACATAATTGTAACGAGTTGTCTTGACCAGCAAAATTTAAGCCTACATCTGCAAACATATTGAAATATATCTGAATTATTACAAGGAGAGTCTTCTCTTGTATAAAGAGGATACATATTTTAAATGGGATGAATAAATACAAATGAGGCAAATTTACTTTCTCATTCTTCCATGAAAACACAAAACAGATCCCTGAATTTGCTTCTTGAAGTGAGAATAATTCTAACGATTAATTGCACTTCAATAGAATCCATACAAATTACTTACAAGTATTACAAAGTACAAATACAAACAAATAGCCAGTCTTTTGGTATACAGAATACATGTACACTATTGTCATATGGGAGTACAACAAATGTTTAGGTTGTACTGGTACATATACATGCAGGCGCGTACGCAGGATTTTTTCAAGGGGGGGGGGGGGGGGGGTAAGAGGACACTTTTTTTTCCTTTTTTTTTGTCTCAAAATTTGTAGATTTGACATTTTGCTCTGTTGGAAGGGGGGGAGGTTAGGTCAGCTTTTTTAGGTCAGCCATGGGAATTTTTTTTTATTTTTTTAAATAAATTTAAAAAAAATCCAAAGGGGGGGGGGGGGGGGGTTTACACACAAAAAATACCAAAGGGGGGGGGGGTTTAACCCCCAACCCCCCCCCCCCCTGTGTACGCGCCTGTATACATGTAACATCATATAAAGGTACTTTGAGCCCTTATAAAAAATATGTGGTGAAAACAAAAGTCCACAAAGTTATTGTGATTCATACATGCACCACTGTTCAATCAGAATTTGTAATATCCTTATTGAATACCAATGAGCAATAGTTCTTGAAAGGTAATATTTAGTACACACATTTTGATGTAAAAGGACAATATTGTGAGAATTAAATTGCTGATCATGAATTACAATACTTGCATACAAATGAATACAATTGTAACAAGTTTTGACCAGCAAAATGTAGGCCTACTGCACACAAATTTTCCTAGACCTGAATTCATACAAGAATATTTTTCTTCTTCTCTTGTACTGTATATAGAATACCGGTATACATATTTGTAAGTAAGGGTACTGGAATGAAACAAAAAAGCACTAAATCTACTTTCTCATTCTTCCATGAAAAAACAAAACAGTTCTCTGAATTTGCTTCTTGAAGTAAGAATAATTATAACAATTAATTGCACTTCAATAGAATCTATACAAACTACAAGTATTACAAATTACAAAGTACAAGTACAAACAAATAGCCAAGTATATAATAGGTCTAGTAAGTATTTTGGAATACAGAATTCAGGAGTACAATAATTTAATGGTTGTACATGTGTAACATCTTATAAAGGTACTTTGAACCCTTATAAAAACATGTGGTGAGAAGTAAAGTCCAAAAAGATATGGGACGTTCAGTTACTTTTGACATAATATCAATGATTTCATAGTAACTCATACATGCACCATGGAGGGGGGAGTGGAGGAGAGCTATCACTGTTTACCAAACAGACCACTTGGCTTTAAAGATAAACTTGAGTTCTGGTAAAAAAAGAAAATGAATTCTCACAGAATCTAACGAAACTTACACTGAATGTTCAAGATTACAAATAAATGTCATGTGCCAAACAATTTTGGAAGAAAATGTAAATTGGCTGAGTAATGAGCATAGAAAGATAAGGAAATCAGGGAAGTACTAGCCCTGACACCATGTGTGTTGTCCCATATACATCTTTCTGTGTAAGTGATTGTTACTTTACCAAGACTCTGCCAAATTTATGATGACTCAAGAACCTTGCATTACACACCATTACTTACATGCTATATGATCAACTTTTCTGATCCATTCCACACCTTTTCTTTCACAATGCAATCGCATTACCAGAACTCAAGTTTATCTTTAATAAGCGAGTTCGTACATAGCTCTGGAACTGTGGAACGCATGACCCCAAAATATCCAAAGATCTTTTACACGATGGATTCATCCCACATGTGCATTTTAGAATAATCACTGCCAAAGGGATGGAGGTGCTTCATGAATACCTTTTGTTTGCCTCTTGAGAAGAATACTCCCACCTATGTATCAGATAAATGTACTGTTGGTGCATAAATGAATACTGATTACATAACTTTCATGAGCATGATCAGAGTATTCATCTCAATGGTACGAATGACCATTATCTGCCCATGTGCAAATCCTAATTACAAACTCGCTTATAGCTGTATTTCAGAAAGAGGGGGGGGGGGATTATTGTCCACTATCATCATCTTCATAATAGAACTGGCACAGCTGGTTCTAGGATGTTGATGGAATCAGTAGAGGTACGTCCCTCTATTAAAGACCATTGTGTGTGTGTGTGTGTGTGTGGGGGGGGGGGGGGGTGATCCTTTCAATCTCTCTCTTAGGATAAAACTGCTTTAGGGGGGCTAACAACAACGCTATAGTAGAAATGGCTCGGCTGCTTCTAGAATATCAAAGTTAAGTTCAAGACGGTATCCCAGTCCGCGTAAGCCAACAGAGGAGAGGAGAGGTGAGGAGCCATCAATCCTTCTAACATACTTAGCTGCGTTTACGATGGGACGGGTTTAAGGCAAGGTGAGTGAGGGAAGGGGCTAATATCATCTTCCTAGTAGAACTGGCTTAGCTGCTTTTAGAATGTCTAGGTTGGGGTCTAGAGATCGACCCAGTCCTTCCAACACCATGATGGCAAGTATGATGGATGCAAAGTTACTTTCCAGCTTCACCTGGTAATAGAGAAAGCAAAGGATAAATCAAAATATAATTTACACTATTTGTAATAGCTCTTTGTATGTGTGTACACATAAGGAGAAATTTTTCAGTTTCCACATTGCTGTTATGCCAGCCCATCAAAATAAGAGAGAAATCGTAGTATGTTCAGTGAAAACATTTTTATCTTTTCAATCTTAATAATGAATTTGTTTTTTTGCATTAAGTGTCATTAGGAAAAGCATAAAATTATTTTTAAAATGTCTGATTCTAAATCAATCGATATAAAGCATCAAGCAAAGAAATTTCTAATGATTACAAACCGCATTCAGCATCTTTCAGTATTGTTTCATTCATAAACTTAAGTAATGATCTACCATGGTAAGAATAATGATTCAGATAAAACAGTTTTGTTGTTGTTTACTTTTATTTTGTAAAGCCTACAGGTACATAAAGCAGAATGTTTAAAAAAAAAAAACATATTAGTAGAACACATGCTCTGACAAAGATTAAGATTGCTTCGTAGTCCTAAATTCCTAACTTCAAACCAACCTCAACCTCAACAAACATTCCAATCACAACCCAAGCTCTAACCCCATACCTTTGGCATGGTAAACTCCAGTAGTTGATATCAGAGAGAGGAAGCCATTTCTTGACTGAGAAACAGACTGACACAAAACCATGTGTGGTCGATTCAGCACAGTATCTATATATGTTATGACAATTTACATACCTCTCACATACCTATCAAAGATAACAATACAGTTTTCAGAACATCATCTATGAGCAAATTTTGGACAACTTGGATCACTGTAACACTTACCTTATGATGAATCATAAGAGCAAATAATTCCCTTAGCAGCTGACCAACTTGCATCTATTACAGACAATGGAAAACAATGATAATGTTCAGAAATTGAAATATCACAGTCATTAATAAATATTATATTTACTGCTATTATGTTTATATGTTATTGTTCTAAAATGGATTTTTTTTTTTTTTTTTTTTTGTTCTCTCAGCGCTCTGATCAGTATTCTGTAAAAGTGCTTAATAAGAATCATAAATTATTATAATCATTTGAAATGTTTTACTATTTCTAAAATTATCAATGGAAATATTAATTTAAAATTTTTTAAATCATGGTTACATAAAAAATATCATTATTAGAGAAAATGATAGAATGACAGAAATAATACCTTGCTCAGTTGAAGACTCCGTTCATGAGCTTTTTCGACCAACGATTTCATGTCAGCTTTGAATTTCTCCACATCGTTGCATTCATTTGAAGATGCATGCTCCGCAAACAGTTCAGCTACAACATCACCCTGTAAAATAATAGAACAGAGTGAACTAGAGGAACTGTCCCATGGTTATTAGTATATACTCCCTTTAAATTTATAACAGAGCTTTCAAAATTGAAGTTCATAGACTAAAAAGAAAAAAATTATTTGCCATGTATTTTCTTTTTGGGAATATTTTCAGTTTTACTATTAAATCCTACCTATATATTTTTGAATGGTCTTATTTCTCCAGAAAATATAATTTTACAGTTTGCTGATACCTTGCGGAGTACAATTGCAGTGAAAACTTTGTAGAAGTTGTTGAAATCCCTCTCCTCCAAATGGGATGTGATACCGGTGTCAAGAAGGACCAACTTTATTGGATTCTTAGGTTCCTTGAGGTAGACCTGGAACTCTGTAATGTGGTCATGAAAGTCCACGGTCCTGCTTGGTTGGACCAGGGCCTCTTCTACTCCCTGGACTAGAATGTTCCCAGGATGAAGGTCTGCATGTACAAAGTTATCCACAAAGACCTGGGTGGATGAAAGCAAGGACAGGGAAGGGGTTAACACACATGACAAATACATACTACCTTCACATATTGTGAGGCAGTGTCATTTTATCTCCACATGTATAAAGAGCCAAACAATACAGTTTGTTTGGGTTGTGTAACAAGATTATACATGTTTATCATAATATTTCAGGCTTTGCACAAGAGCAATCAATAGAATTAGTCAAGATAAACCCCCAAAACTAAAAAAGATTGAAAAAACTTTTCAATGCAATTTGCAAAGAAAAGTCACCTATTATCTACTCCATGTAGTCTGTCCATACACTAGCATTATTTTAGTGTCGTACACAATACTTCCTACTACTTTCACTCTTTATGCATTTAATATTCCCATTTCGACTTTGTTCATTTTTTGTTCTCATATTGATCATATCAGGTTATTATTGATATATTTAGTATTACTCACCATCTTCAAAATCACATCTACTCCCATTTGAGCAAGGATCTTCTTAATTCCTTTCTCATCTTGGTTGTCAGGATCGCAGGATATAAATGCTGATATGCTCTGACCACTCTAGTAAAAATAATCAAATTCAAACGGAGGAAAAAAACAGTAGTAATTATTTCTAACCTTCAAATGAGGACAAATACAAACAAACAAAATATTTATTTGCCATTCTTGAACAGTAATATATCATTTACATTGAATTTCTGAAATGGATTCCAAGATTTTTTTTCATATCTGCTTTATATTTATCTAAATTCATCTTTTTCACAAAGGCTACATCTTGTTATGGAATTTATTAACCACAGAGCAACACAGCATCAATTTCACAAAATGTAAAAGATAATGATCCACACAGATGCTTTCTTACCTCAAATGTTTCAACTAGGATCTCATTAGTGACAAATGGCCAAACTGGTTGAGGTATTCTTACATGAGGCACTTGAGAAAAGTTTTGATGAAATCTCTCAAGGTTTTCTGCTTCTAGCTTGAGGTTTATCTGGAAGGAAACATGAGAGGTCATATAACTGAATCAATGGGTGAATTGTAAATAGAGTCCATGGAATTTGTGGTTATATAATTACCAATAAATTTAAGATTTAAGATAAATTCTAAATCCTTTACCATTGGTAAGGATGTAAGTTGCAGTTTCAGTGTATTTTGTTCGTTGTTGTTGCTACTGTTCTAGAGAGTTACAAATGATTGTACCTCTTTATGTAACAGGGCCATGAACTGTGTATCAGATTACCCTCCCCCTCCCTCCCCCTGGATTTTTAAAGTTCCAATACATAAAGCAACTACCACCTCAAATTTAGACAGCGAGGAGCCTTGATAGCCCCATATTCGGGCTGGAGGTGCCTGAATAAGTAATTTCTGTAATTTTTACTGAAAAAAAGTCTCAAAAATTGTTGTGTGCTTGGTTTAGAAACTGAAAAGTTGAAAAGCAGGCAAAAGGCTTACGTCCACGGTCCCCCCCCCCCCACCCCCTTTGCGAAAATGTTCCCATACACCTATGCACAATCGGGCTAAAATGGAGACAGGGTACTTGACTTACTTGATTTTTCATGAGAGATTCAAACTCATCCACAAGGTCGACAGGGCTGAGCCAATGGAGACCAGGAATTAGGTTCAGTATCCTGGCAAAGACATTGATAATCCTCAGATCTAGATGGACACTCTCATAGATACCTGGGTGAAGGACCTACAGGAAAATAGTTCAAAAGAACAAGGAAATCCTGTGAGTTCACTAACACATCTTTGTTGAAATAAACAGTCTTGAAGCACTGCATGAAAATAAAAATGATATAGTCTACTGCACTTTACAAGCGTCATCTCATTATTCCAGCTGAGCTAATACGATGTTTGTGCAATCAAGGAACTTCTCCCTACCAGATATGTATTTACTTCACCTGGGTGGAGGGTGGCAAATGTAGATAAATATCTTGCTAAGTGATGATCATGCTATGACAGGGATTTTAACCCCCTGTCATGTGGTTCATAGTCTAGTGACTTATAATAATAACTAAACAAGGGAAACGCTCTCGGCGGTCTCGCCTGCATAACGCAATTCAATATGATAAACCAGAACGTCAATGACGAAGTGCTCATCCGCATCTCACAACAACAAATATCGTAAATTTTATGTGGTATATGTTTGAACTGGTCAAAAAATAGAAATTTGATGCCCTGGAAGGGACATAATTTCATTTCATTTGCATAAAGTACCATAAATAATCAATGGAGCAAAATCTCACAATTCTGTGTAGAAGTTTATTGTTCCAAATTTAGCTCTACCAGATAAGGCAAAATCGGTCAAGAAATGAGGGAAAAGAAGCAATTTTTGTTATTTTTGGAAAAAATTTGCATAAATTACCATAATTAATTAATGGAGAACAATTTCAAAATTCTGTGTAGAAGTTTAGTGTACCAAAGTTAGCTCTACGATATAAAGCAAACCAAATCAAAATCGGTCGAGAAATGAAGGAGAAGAAGCCTTTTTTGTGATTTCGAATAAATTTGCATAAATTAGCATAGATAATGAATTTCACGATTCTGTGTAGAAATTTTAAATCCCCTCCTAGCCCTATCATACAAAACAATCAGAATCAAAATCGGTTGAAAAATAACGAAGAAGAAGCATTTTGAAAATCTTAATGTTGATGCCACAACAAAGTCTAAGTTTGTTGACCTTAAATGGCCTTTGACCTTAACTTAGTGACCTGAAATTCTACTCACATGATTGGGGAGACTTGATAACCCTATAGTCCAAGGTTCATTGACTAAGAGCTTATACTTTCAAAATTATATCAAAAATTCAAAAACTTAACCTTAGTTAAGTTTTCGATGATGATGCTACAACATAGTCCAAGTCTGTTGACCTGAAATGACCTTTGACCTTGACTTTGTGATCTGAAATTCTACTCACATGATTGGGGATACTTGATTACCCTATAGTCAAAGTTTCATTGACTAAGAACTTATACTTTAAAAATTATACCAAAAATTCAAAAACTTAACCTTAGGTTAAGTTTTTGATGTTGACGCCGTCGCCGTCGCCGTCGCCGTCGCCGTCGCCGCCGCCGTCACCGGAAAAGCGGCGCCTATGTCTCGCTTTTTGCTACGCAGGCGAGACAAAAACTGTGCTTTTAAAGCGCTTACCACCAAAGTCTCTAAGCGTTTTAACAAATAAATACAATGATAAACATATAATAAATAAAGAAAGAAATGAATAAAGAAATAAGCACAAAAAGAAGGCTTGTTACAAAGAGATGTAAATACCTCAATTCAACTGAAAAAATAAGAACTACATACAATTTTCCAAGAAATTGAATTGCAAGACAGACAAGTTAAAACACAGACCTTTACAGCAACTGGTATCCACTTTTCCTCATCCATGATTGGCTCTGATGCTCGATCTCTCATCCTCCAGTCTCTCAATCCACCTTCCCTTCCTTTCATTACAGCTAGAGAGGAAAATCGGGGAAAAGGTGTTTCTTTACTTAACCTGGTGACTACTGAATTCTCTCATTCCCATAAACTTAATACAGAAGCCACCCGGTTCCAGTATGCAATGGTTAAAAAGATATGCTCCCAGCATTGGCACACCATAGTATTTTGATTTGGATATGGTTGACATTTTTAACTGGTACAGACTGCAAGTATATATCATGACACCTTCTAAGAGATTTTTGTGAAATATAACTATCCAGACTGAATTATTCACTAAAGAGATTTTTAAAATCAAACATAAATGATTAAGGTTGGCTCATTATGTTAACATAGAAACTTACATGCCCATGCTAATTAAAAGCAGTGCATGTGTGTACCATTTGTACAGTAATTTGGTTCTCCTTCTTATACCCTCCTTGATTTCTGTTTCTCTTTGTTCTCCAATTTCTGTATACCTCTTTATTTAGATCAATATTCAATACATTTTTATATTCACCACTTTGCTTTTATTTTACAAGTTCTTACCTTGGTAGACATCTGGTCTCATGTATACTTTATGAACCTGCCCTACACATCCCGAATACACAGTCTCATTGCTAGACTCCACCTGAATATCTCCTTCCACAACAAACCAAAGGCATGTTCCAGAGCTCTCTTTGTGTATTCTACTGAGTGGCTTGGAGCATTGCGGTGCAGCTTCGAGAGCTGATCGCAAAAGTCCTGCGAAAAGAGGTCTCTCCTAGTACTCGCCCACTGACCGAGCTTGATGAAGGTGGGTCCGGAGAGTTCAATGGATCGCAGGAGCGCACGTAGCCATACATCCTGGAGCCTGTCTGGGAAAAGGAGTACTAGTGGATAGGAGAAGAGAAGTGGTCCAAAGAGGATGGAATTGCGGATGTAGCGTAGGGACACCAGGACAAACTGAACAAGGTTTGATGCAAGAGTTCTGAGGACATGATGCCAGAGTCTCATCTGCCCAACTAACAATGACTTGACAGAATGAAGTCTATCAATCTCTGAGTTAATAAGAACAGGGTGATCTAGAACTGCTTCTTGACATGCTGCTCTGGAAAATAGAATTTGTGGCAAACGCTTGTACGATGCTACTCCAATGAAAGCACAGCATACCGTTAGAGCAACAGATTTGGTGGGATGATATTTTGGCTGAGGTAGACGTTTGAGTACTGTCCAGTGAAGGGGTCTTACTCTTCTAAGTTGAAGAGTAATGCGGGAGATGTGATGAATGAACATCTTGAACAAGAAAATGCGGCTGAACTAAATATGAGAAACAGAATTACCACTCCTTGTGGGACCTGAAACGAAACGAAAGAGATGGATAAGATTAGACAGAGAGAACAACTGAGGTTCTGCAAGTTCATGAGGATATCGACGAGTCTACAATTCAAAACAATGCAGTTTGTGCGTGATTGCCGAACTCATAACAAGCAGTAGCTTCAAGAAAACAGACAGATCTCTAGTTAATCACCCCCACCCCCCTCCCCCACATGTTGTGCGTCTGGCAAGGGTAACCATTTGTGTTTGGAAAAGGTTGATTAATGTGCGATACGCACAATACAGGCCTGGTCATTTGTGATTTTAAAAAATTATCTTTTTACCGCTTTCTCGTACATGGAAGATGTACGGCCCTCAATGAGACAGCAGATCAAAACAAGAGTGGAAAAGTTCTAAAACATAGACTCTAGAGTATACAGTGCGTACCAGAAAAAACAAAACCAAGAATTATCTATGTTTTATCATAACTTAATCACAATTGTATTTAATAAATGACACATATTTGTCAAGCGTAGATCCTCTCCTTTCATTTGATGCAACTCATATGATGCATAAAAAAAGTTTAGATTAGATCCCAACTTTTAAAAACTTTTTTTTTCCGGGCTTATTTTTCTCCCATCAGTAGGGGCGCTGGTCCAAGAATAAGAATCCTCCGCATAAACCAGAATATCCTTGTAAACGCTGAAAAATCAGGTCCTAACAAAATAAGGATCGTCCGCATTCTTGCAGACGATCCATATTACCGATCCGCGGGTTGGCGATGCGAAAAACGGATTAGGCGATGATCGATGCTCCATGATGCATTTCTCACTTACGCAGCACAGATACTTTCACGCTATGAACGATAAATCCTCAGGAAGACGGACAACCCGTAAAAGTAAACAGTGAACTGGGGTGTATTATTACGCATAATCTGTTTTTTTTCGCATTGCCAGCGCGCCGATCAGGAAGTTCGGGAACCTACACCCACAGAGCGCTGAAGAAAAAAAAAGTCCACCAAGAAAAGAAACGTCCGCGTTTACGATCTAGGACAAACGTCATTCTCGGACCAGCGCCCTTACTAGCCCACGGGCATGGCAATTCTTATTTCTACATGTATATCTATCATTACAAAAAACATTATCACACATTTATCTAAACATAGCTAGATCTAGACCAAATTTTTCTGTCTCTTTCGAGGGGCCAACCCGACCCTACCCAAATCTTTTAATAGAGAGGAGCCGACCCTACCCAAATCAGAGGCTAACGAACGAAAGAGACAGAAAAAATTGTCTAGAAAGTCTAAGCTAGATCTAGATCTAGACCCTAGACACCTAAAATTATTTCAAAAATATGCTTTTGGTCCAAATATTCTAATGTCTAAATAATCTTGAAGTTGTAGTCTTGTAGACCATCTACATGTAAAGTGCATAAGTCTACATGCATGCATACATATAGTAGTAGTGTCAGTGTCAGACACGTACAAGGTCACAAGCACGCCCACATCACAATTTTACAAAACATATCACCACACAGAAAGCAGCATATGGGACAATACAATCAACTTGATCGTGCAGACTTGCGTCTTTCTCTGTGATAATCAGACAAATTCATAAATTTCATACACATTACGCATACAGTACATCAGTGAGGAATGATAATATATAATGATATTAACATGAAATTTTACCAAATAAAACTAAATGTGTATTCTCAGTCCACGGGCGCGGGCGGCGGTGAGACTGTAAATGTGCGCCTCGATCATAGACTAAGCGACGAGAGTGCTATATACGTATACAGTGTCTCTCAACAAAACAACAAATCTTTGGAAGAGGGATCTGGGCAGGGGCGGCGATTTCTTTTCATGACCGGGGAACGTAATGCGAAGGACTAGTGAGCAAAGTGAACTAGATGGGCGAAGCTCGGGGGGTTACTCAGAATCGGTTTTGAATGGGATGTACCGCTCAAGCCTCGCGAAACCCCTACCCATTTTAAAGGGTAATTTTTCTCTATAAATAGACCATTTTTCACAATTTCCGGGTTTTTGAAGTTTTGTTGTATCAAAAAAATACTTTACTTAGCGAAAATATATAGTATAAAACCAAGAAATATTTACTTGTATATTTCGAAGGATATTATATGAGGGAGCGAGAGGATTTGTGCATTTCTAATAGCCTAAACGCAGCACTCTTGGGCCCTCCAGAGCCTAAAAGTGTGTTGCAGTCTTTAGTTAGTATTTGCTATAGATTTTTGGGGGCACTTTTTCAAATTTTTCCGGGGGCGACCCCCCTTCATCTGGGCAGGGGGTGTATATAGGTCGGTGGTAAACACTTAACAGTGTTAGATTGTTAGAAGTAACTGAATTGCTGTTTTATTTTTTTGCTTAGAAATGCTCATAAAATCTTATAAATTAAAAATAATAATAATAATAGTGGGTTCTTGTATAGCGCTCATGTCAGTCAGATTTGACCCTCCTGGCGCTACCGATTATTACCCTGGCTTTAGCACGGCTGCCATACGGCGCTCTAGCACTTCAAGGATTTAATTCCTACCAGGTACCCATTTACCTGATTTAAAGTGTAGCAATCACTTAAAAGAGAATAATTACACAAATTATTCTCTTTTTGAAGTGATTGCTACGCTTTAAATCAATGTTCCTGTCTGTGTTCATAAACTTTTAAGTTGGTTATACTCTGCCCCGGACTCTGCCATCTTTCCCCCATCTTTCACAACTTGGATTAAATTTACTCCACTGTATTCCAAATCACAACATTATTTCTGCCCTTCCCTATGTGATCAATTTTTACTTTGGAGGCTGTTTTTGGTCTGTCATTAGTTGTTTTTCTTTGAAGCATCACTGACTAGCTAGGATGTTTTAATGGATTGAAATCTCTTTTGCAATAAATGTATACTGCATTAATATGTGTTGTACAGGCACGGATCCAGGGGGGCCGAGCGGGCCTTGCCCCCCCCCCCCGCAAAAAAAAAAAAAAAAGAGAGAAGAAAGGAAAAGAAGGGAAAGGGAAAGAGGAGAGAAAGGGAAAGAAAGAAGAAGAAGAAGAAGAAAAGAAAAGGGGGAAGAAGGAGATCGGGGGGGGGACCGAAAGGGCCTTTCCTCCCAGGCTGTTGACCCCCCCCCCCCCCCTCCAATCAAAAAAATAAGAGAGAAGGAAGGAAAGGAAAGAAAAAGGAAAAGAGGAGATACTGGCGTACTAATAGGGGGGGGCTTTGGGGAAATCAAATTCAAACGTGGTTTATTTCTAATTCCACAACGGTGGATTACAAATAATGCTGAAATGACATAATTTCCGAGATTTGTCCTCACTTTTTAGTAAATTATACGTTTGTATATGTGTTTGTTGGAAAATGACAAATTCCTAAATTTACAGCCAGGCACGAAATATGATTCTTGAGATTCCTACATGTCAGGGCCCGAGGTACGGCAGGGATCGGGAGCCTCGAGCTCCCTCCCCCCCCCCCCCCCCCACTTTATTTAAAAAAGTATATTAAAGAGAAAAAAATAGAATGAGCGCAAGAAAGAACGAATAGTTAACTGCCAGTGTTAAAAAATGAGTCATCAAAATATGCTTATCTGACCGTGATTAAATGCCTAAAACCCTTAAGCTTCCGGGCTCTGCCCCCTGGATTCCACCTAGGACGCTACGGCGGGCCCTTAAATGCTCATCTGACGGTAATTTAATGCCTAAAACCCCGCTTTTGGGGGATCCGCCCCCTGGACCCCACGCCAAATAGTGACCTGCCAGTGTCACAAAATATAGGTATTAAAAAAAAATGATCATCTGACCTTAATTAAACGCCTAAAACCCCTGAGCTTCCGGAGCCGGACAAGTTATCAAAATGTGTTTATCTGACCGCAGGCGCGTAGCCAGCCGGGGGGGGGGGGGGTCCCTCCAAATCGGAAGAGGACGTAGAAAGTAAAAGGAGCAGACAAAGAACATCTTTGAAATTCAGACAAGGATTAAGAGTATAGAGAACGGTACAACGCATCGTCTTCTTTCTCTAATAATTTAATGAAACGTCAAAGCTTCGCGCAGGAGGGGAGGGGGGGGGGGGGACTGAATTCAGACAAGGATTAAGAATCGAGAACGGTACAGTGAATCGTCTTCTTTCTCTCATAATCTTATGAAACGTCAAAGCTTTTGCGCGGGAGGGGGGAACCTGAATTCAGACGAGGATTCAGAGGCGAGAACGGTAATAATAATCTTTAATGAAACGTTAAAGCTTCCGCGTTTTGCGCGAGGTTGGAGGGGGAACTAAATTCCGACGAGGATTATTTTCGAGAACGGTACAACGAATCTTCTTTTTTCTCTATTGATTTAATGAAAATTAAAAGCTTCCGCGCGGGGGGGAACCTGAATTCAGACGAGGATTAAGATTCGAGAACTGTACAGCCAATCGTCTTCTTTCTCTCATAATCTTATGAAACTTAAAAGCTTCCGCGCTTCGCGCGGGAGGGGGGGGGGGGGGACCTGAATTCAGACGAGGATTAAGAGTCGAGGAACGGTACAACGAATCGTCTTCTTTCTCTAATGATTTAATGAAACGTAAAAGCTTCCGCGCTTCGCGCAGGAGGGGGAACCTGAATTCAGACGAGGATTGAGAGTCGAGAACTCTACAACGAATCGTCTTCTTCTCTAATAATTTAATAAAACGTAAAATTTTCCGCGTTTCGTGGAGGAGGGTGGGGGAAAACTCGCCCCTCTCTGCACCGACCCCCCCCCCCCCTCCGCATTACGTCACTGTTGGTCATCATTACGTACCAATATTTGGCTCGCATAATTTCAAATTTGGGCCCCCCCCCCCTAAGAAATCCTGGATCCGCGCCTGGTGTTGTACATACATTGTAACAATCTCTAAAAACTTAACCAGGCATAAAGGGTTAACGGCTACAGGAACCACAACCTATCCGATGGTTTTGTTCGGGTATAAATATAGCACAATAAATTGAGGGCACAAAAATGCTATACTGAGAGCTGATCGAGACGCCCTGCTATTATTGTCCTTTCAAATGTTATTATTGATGTAATTTTAAAAGTCAAAGCACCTATTTAGCAGCAACCACTTAGCCTGAATCAGTGACGGATTCAGGGGAAGGCCTGGGGGGGGGGGGGGGGCTGGGAAAAAACGTGTAAAAACACGTTAATTTTACCTTTTTTGGAGATGACCCCCCCCTTTTTTTTTTGAGGGCCCCCAAACAAATAAGTGCTCATGCACTACCCCCCCCCCCCCCCCCCCCCACTGAGCGAATTATCGGCCGAATGTTTCGCCGCTAAATATTTTCTCACGAATCTTGTACTGACATGCAAACGAAAAAAAAAATCCAATCATTGGACAATACAATTTGAATAGATCTATATGCAAGCAGACCCCCTCTATCACGGTTCTGTCTTGTTTTGTTGGCACACCTTGTTCTAGAATACAAGCACTGCATGTACCGCACCGAAACTCTAGCTACGTACCGAAACGAAACGTGCACCACCGGTTTTGAATAGATGAATGAATTGATTAATGATTGTCATGCTGATTAGATTGATCGAACTTCTATTCACTCTCGGTCTCCCTCGAACTTCTTTTGAAGCCGAGACATTTAAATCCCCTTCTGATAGCGTGCACTCCATTACCGGCAGCATAAACGGATTTTGATCGTAGGCCTACCAGAATTAAGAATCTTATTGCAACTGTAGTCCAACGCATTCAATTTTGTGTGTGGTAAGTCGTGATCTGATGATTGTCCAAATTAGCCTAATTGTCTGTCTGTCTGTCACATAAATTATATAACTTAATTACTCAGCATGCCTAATTACTCTAATATGTCTAACTTACATTGTCATTAAGGCTAGGTAGTTTTCCCTCTTCCCGAGGATTTATCGTTCATAACGTGATAGCTGATTGAAAGTCTCTGTGCTGTATAAAAAGCCGCGGCGTTAGCGTTAAGCGTAATTAGGTCTAAGTGACTGATAAAAGTGATAGTGTAGATGCTAGATGCATGATCATGGAGCATCATTGCGGAATCTGTTTTTCACACCGCCAACGCATGGATCGGTAATAAGGATCGTCCTTGAAAATGCGGGGGCTCATTTTTTAGGACGCGATTTGTCCTTGTTTACGAAGATATCCTCGTTTATGCGGGCGATCCTTATTTTCGAACCAGCACCCCCTACTGAACTTGAAGGTTGGTTGAAGTTGAACACTAGGCTCGAGCTCCAAAATACAATTCTTTTTGTTTTATCCAGAATCCTGCCACTGATGCTCTTCATATAACCATGGCTTCATCATCATCCTCATCATTGCCGTCCTCCCCTTCATCCTCAATGCCATCAAGAGCAGAGGATTGGACCCCTGAAGATGGGGGTCTTCATGAGGCCTGTGGTGTATTTGGATGTGTCGCTGCAGGAGAGTGGCCCACGCAGCTAGATATACCTCAGCTAATCACACTGGGTTTGACTGGACTCCAACACAGGTGAGGTCATATCCTCTGTTCAGATTCAGAAGGGCATTTAGACTCTACACTGTTTTAAAGCTTATCAACACTAGTGTGGTTAGGAGGGATTAGACCACACAGCGAGGTCACTGACAGGTGGCTATCTCATCAACTCAGCTCTCAAATAACATAAGAAATAGAGGATCATGGGGGACCAACAGGCACCGATTGGGGAAGTTTTCTATATAGAGGGAGCAAGAAGCTACAAGTAGGACAGTGGGGCTTTAAAGTATATACCGGTATTCACAGTTTTCAAACTGCAATCTTTATGTATAAATTTTGGATAAATACTATACCTTTGGCATTTCAAAATATTTATGTTAATTCTTAATCTTAGATGACCTGCACTTTAACAATACAAATCAAACACTTACTTTATCTGCACACACCCTCTTGCATGCACTTTCATTTTTTTCTTTACTTTCTTTCCACTTTTTATTTAGATACTTTCTGAACAAAATCTTTATATGTGACACTCTATTCTCCTACATACTCCTATAACAGCGCCATGTACCCCCCCCCCCCTTTCCTTATCGATTCAAGCATTCTTGCTTATGATAGTTGGCCTCTGCATTTATCTTGATTATTTTACTTACCTCCATACTCTCAAGCTTTCAATTATATGTATACATTTGCAGGCGCGGATTCAGGATTTTCCAATAGGGGGGGCCGGAAATTTGAAAATTGCGCAGACCGTTTATTCAAGGTCATTTTAGAAGCACCATACCGGTACAATTTTTGACATTTTTATCTCTGGGGGGTGGGGGGGGGGGGGTTATAGCCTCTTGCCCGAAAAAGTAATAATAGAAATAATACGCCAAACTTTTTGTTTTAAGGTTTTTCTGAAAATAAACGTTAACAAATCGAGTGGACACTGTTCGCCAATCGCAGACTCATATCGCCGATCTAGGAGACGCATATCGCCGGTGGAATGCGGCGAGACGCGTCTCTAAGACGCATATCGCCTGGCGATATGCGTCTGTACCAGGCGCGTACACAGGGGGGGGTGTTTAGGGGTTAAACCCCCCCTTTGGTAATTTTTTGTGTGTAAACCCCCCCCTAAATTTCTCTAAAACCCCCCCCCCCCTTTTGGATTTTTTTTTTTTAAAAAGCTGACCTTACCCCCCCCCCCCCCCAACGGAGCAAAATGTCAAATTTTCAAATTTCGAGACCAAAAAAAAAAAAAAAAATGTGTCCTCTTACCCCCCCCCCCCCCCCCCCCCCGCTTATTCAGCGGTCGGCTGAGTCGTTGCGATTTTTTTGGGACCAAAAAAAAAAAAAAAGTGACCTCTTACCCCCCCCCCCCCCCCCCCCCCCCCCCCCCCCCCCCCCCCCCGCTTATTCAGCGGCTGGCTGAGTCGTTGCGAAATTTTCTGCCCGATTTATAAATGTTAAAACCCCCCCCCCTTGAAAAAATCCTGCGTACGCGCCTGGTCTGTACAGACGTGATTTCGCTAAGACACATAACGCCACGACACCGGCCCGGCCCCCCTCTATTCAATGACGTTTGCCAAGCCTTCTGGAATGACCCCAAATCTCCCGATTACAGTTTTCCCTCATTCGTCGTTACTGTCACTTAGTCCCATTTCCTTGTCTTTCCCCCTTTCTCACCCGACTTTTCTTTTTCCCACCCCCCCCCCCCACCCCCACCCACTCAGTGTTATCTAAGGTACGCACATGTATGTTCCCTCTCTTTGAAAGCACCCCTCTATCTCCGGTGTGTAAAGTCAGTACGGGCCGGACTTTGTTGCGTGAAAAGTACCTCTTTATCTGAAATTTTGGGAACACAAATTTGGTCCCTCCGGGAGGGAGGGGGGGGGGGGGCTTTGTTCTTTATCTTTTCTCTTCTCTTTTCCTTTCTCTTCTTTTTTTCCTTTCTCTTCTCCTTTCTTTTCTCTTCTCCTTTCTTTTCCTCCTCTTCTCCTTTCTCTTTTTCTCTTTTTTCTTCCTCTTTTTTTTCTTCCTTTTGCGCCGCCAATAGGGGGGGGCCGAAACGGCCGGGGCCCCCCCCCCCTGGATCCGCCACTGCATTTATACATTATGTGTATTTAAGTTGTCACTCTTTATGTAAATCAATTAATATACGTACTATTGTTATTTGAATGTTTTATATTTGATTTATCAATATGTGCAGAAACATCTGCTAAGAAAATATATGAGCTATTGCCCTCCTGGCTCCAAATAGCTTAGACCCAGATGGGCGTTACCTCCATGTTGTAAAGAAAATGAGTGAGAGTTAGCACACTTCTGGCTCCAAACAGTTCAAAGCCAGATTAACCCTATATTACAGTATGAGTTAATCCTCTCCTGGATTTAAACAGACAATAAAGGAGACCCCTCCCCCTTCCTCATTTGCATACATTATGACATGGTTTAATGGGTATGAAAGGATCTCCTCAAGTTTAAATCTGCTTAATCTTGTTATTGTCAATGACACATGAGTGGACTTGGTTGTGATAAAAGGCTAGTACAGAGTGGTCCAAAATGATTACAATTTGATAACAGAACTGAGAAGTATGCAGTCTCTTCCTGTTTGTCACTTGTCAGGATGTTTTTAACCTTCTTGAATATTATCTACACAACCCCTGTCTCCCTCTACCCCACCCCCCCCCCCTTTTGACCGTTTCATGATATTGTACACAATTTTGATATCAAGAGTATGAAGCCAAGATTGGATTAAGTTGGGGTGTGGAGGGGGGGGGGGCTGGTCTTTTAGCTTTATTATGATTTATGGTGCAGATATTTAGACTATTGGCAATGTTCATGGATTTCCTGGAATCATTACATATTACTGTAGCTGCCAAACCCTTGCTATTTTGGAAGAATAATTCCTAATTTCTGACCTTTAAACTAATATTATGAAACATAGATTTCTCTCTCTTACTTAAAACTTCTGTGTATATTATAAGTATATCCTTTGGAGAATTCCTAATTATTTGCTCTGAAAGGTTGGCTGGGATGACATTTCAAACAACCTTTCCAGGATGGGAAGTAATGAGCTAAAACGAAATATTTCTGCTGTTGTAACTTCAGAGGTCAAGAGAGCGCCGGTATCATCACGAGCCAGGGTTCATCCAAGAACTACCGCAAGCATAAAGGCATGGGTATGGTTAGTGCAATCTTCACAGACGAGATCCTAGCCAATCTACATGGTAATCTGGGCATTGGTCACAATCGCTACTCCACAGCCGGGGCATCTGAGCTCTTGAACTGCCAGCCGTTTGATGTGGAGACGGTCCATGGACGCATCGCTGTGGCGCATAATGGAGAGCTGGTGAATGCTGCTCAACTTAGGATGAAGGTAGAGTAACAAAGCTTGTACGACACATGCTGGGTGTCAATTCTCCATGCTTAATATTGTGTATAGGGTTAGGGTTGCATGTAGGTTTTAAATTAGGTTTGGGATAAGTTACAGTTATTAGGTACTGGTACATGTATTGTGTTAGGTCCCAAGTTAAAGATCGTAATTCAGATGTTTTCCACAGTGCAATTGTTGCCAGAGCATGACAAGCGTACACTACTCTGTATAATTCGAAAAACACATCAGCGAGGGGCAGTTATACATTTTCACTTCCAAAAAAATTGCTTCTTACCATATATTTTTATTGTACAGTATTTCTTAGTTTGCCATCTCAGTTTGCCATCTCAGTTTCTGACATTGATGCTTAGGTGGATTATTATGTCAGATCTGAAAAAACGTTGAAGAGATTTGCGAACGCATCTATTTGTAAAATTTGATGCAAAATGATAATTTGCCGTATACAAATTTATTCTCAAATAGGTGCTTAAACACGGTGTAGGTCTGTCGACTGGTTCAGACTCTGAGGTCATCACCCAGCTGCTGACCCACGCCCCTCCCGAGGGGGAACCTGAAGGCCCCAACTGGCTTGGTAGGATACGTCAACTGATGAATGAGGCTCTCATGGCTTACTCCCTTCTCATCCTCCATGAAAGCTCCATCTATGCCGTCCGGGATCCCTACGGCAACAGGCCCCTCTGTATCGGGAGGCTTGTCCATGCAAGACATAGTGGTGAGTAGAACCTGAACAAAACGAATCAAAAGATTCTAAAAATGTATTTTTATAGGAATATGTTACACTTGTGAAACTAAATTTTTTAGTAGTGAAAGTTTCTTTTATAATACCTTTAATTTGTAATTGGAGAGAGAGAGAGGGAAGGTTTTTTGGGGGGAGAGGGGGGGGGGGTAGTCTACATCTAGTCAAGATTTATTCCATGTGGGAACCAAGTTAATCGAACCCTGATGTTTTTTTTTTTCTCTCTTAATGTTTATATTCCAGTTGACTGTCCAAAGGATGATGATGTGGAGGGCTGGGTGGTCTCCTCCGAATCCTGCTCCTTCCAATCTATTGGTGCACAATACTACCGAGAGGTCCTTCCTGGGGAGATCGTTGAGATCTCAAAGACTGGTATCAAATCTCTGGCCATTGTACCCCGTCCGGCTGAAGACCCACAGGCTTTCTGCATCTTTGAGTATGTCTACTTCTCAAGACCCGACACCATTCTTGAAGGTATTTTACAAACATGTACTACTATTTATCTCTAAAACAAGAATATTGACAAAAGTTCCTTATATCAGAATCTATTAACCTTGCGCATAACCTCATGTGCAGAAAGTTGAAACAAAATATAGCCAGTTTTAACTGCATGGTCGGATTTATCCTCACAGTAATACATTTGGAAAATGAGTATCTGCACTTGTAGATTACACATTCCTAGCTCCTGTTTTCTTTGTTGGAAAAGAAGCTATCCATGACTATGATTATGACTGTGAAGAATCTTTTTTTTAAATTGAAGTTTAAATGGGTGTATGACCCTTGTAAAAAAAAACCATGGTTTTACCATCATAACCATGGTAATACCATGGTTCATCCATGGTTTTACAATGGATCGACTGTTTTCAGGATCCAACCGTGAGTATCCATGGTTTTACCAACATAACCATGGTTAAACAATGGTTAAACCATGGTTTTACCACTGTTAATAAACCATGGTTTAAAAACTATGGATAAACCGTGGTTAAACCACAGTTATTACACCACGGTTTCAAAACCATGGTTAAACCATAGTTTTACAGCAGTTCAAAAACCATGGTAACAAAACCATAAATAAACCATGGTTTAACCATGGTACTAAAACCATAGTAATGAAACCATAGTTAAACCATTGTATTACAATGGTTAAAAAACTATGGTTAAGAAACCATGGTTAAACAACAGTATTGCCAACGTTGAAAAACCACTGTTATTTAACCATGGTTATACCATGGTTTTAAAATGGTTCAAAAACCATAGTTTTTTAACCGTGGCAATATCATGGTTTAACCGTGGGTTCTTAACAATGGTTTTTTAACCATGGTTAAACCATTGAATAACCATTGTTAAAAAACCATGGTTAAGAAACCATGGTTAAACAACGATATTGCCAACGTTGAAAAACCACTGTTATTGAACCATGGTTATACCATGGTTTTACAATAGTTCAAAACCCATAGTTTTTTAACCGTGGCAATATCATGGTTTAACCGTGGGTTCTTAACGATGGTTTTTTAACCATGGTTTAACCATTGAATAACCATCGTTAAAAAACCATGGTTAAGAAACCATGCTTAAAACCATGGTTTTACCACGGTACAAAAATCATGGTAACAAAACCATGGTTGAACCATTGGATAACCATTGCTAAAAAACCATGGTTAAGAAACCATGATGTAACCATGGTTTTACCATGGTTGAAAAACCACGGCTATTGAACCATGGATGAAACCATGGTTTTACCACGGTACAAAAACCACGGCTATTGAACCATTGTTGAACCATTGGATAACCATTGCTAAAAAACCATGGTTTTGCCATGGTCGAAAACCACTGTAACTAAACCATGGTTAAAAACCATGGTTTTACCACAGTTGAAAAACCATGGCTATTGAACCGTGGATGAAACCATGGTTTTACCACGGTTGAAAAACCACGGCTATGAAACCATGGTTTAACCATAGTTTTACAACTGTACAAAAAACTAGGTAACGAAACCATTTTTAAAAGTTCTACCAAGATACAAAAACCATGGTAAAGAAATCATGTGCAAACCATGGTTTTGCCATGGTTGTAAACCATGGTAACGAAACTATAGTTAAAACGATGGTTTTACCGAGGTTGACAAACTACGGTTACGAAACCATAGTTAAACCATGGTTTTAGAATTGTTCTGATACCATAGTTATAAAAACATGGTTAAACCATGGTTTTACCACAAATCAAACAACGGTCTGACCATAGTTAACTACACTTTTGACATGGTCTCAACACGAGTATTAAAAAAAATAAAAAAAAACTACTATCATGTAACCAATGTAGTTATGACCACTATATACATAATACATGTATGACCAGCACTACTCGATTGTTTTGATGACCTTGAACTGATTCGATAATAAATACAATTATTAGTGTGTTTGCTGCCATCTAGTGGTGGAATGCACACTGTATTTCCAATTTTGAATTTCTTCACTCCAGCCATTACTTTGCCGTTTCGCCAAATTTGTCTTCCTTTAAAACCCAGAATATAGGGGATAAGGGTTAGATTTACACCAGGAAAGAAGAATTGTACGAGACTAAGAGTATTCTAGAGCAAGAATTGGACAACATGAAGAACTCGAAGTAGATCTAGATTTCAATTTACCAGACAGTCACACTGGTCTACATACTACAGTACAGTCCCACACAGCCACTCATGTGTGGGAAAATATCGGTCTGCAGAAAACGACCAACTTTGCTTTGCTGCTGGAGCTATACTTTAAGGTCAACATTTTCTCCAGGAGGTGAGTAATAAGATTAAACATAATTTAAGGCTTGATACAGAATTGGGTATGCTTTCTGTAAAAATTAAGAAATTTGGTTATAAATCTCATTCTTCTTTTTGATTTTTTGTAAATTTTGTTCATGAAAAAAAACCAAACGGATTGCAATTGATGAAAGTAGATTTACTAGATTATATTCCATACTGTACAATACTGCATCCATGAAAGTAACGTACTCCATGGAGCTCCGACGCCGATGCCAAAGGCATCGAAGCTCATGCAGATGTGGCCCGTTTATGAAAACGATTCAAACAGCGGCTGAGCGGGTTTGGTCACATGTTTTCGCAAAGTAAATTCTGAAAAAGAGGTAGTCTAATTACAACTTTGACTAGACTTAACAATGTTTCTTTTTACTCCTTTGGGCATCTTTCCAACCACTTGAAATCATAATATGAAGAAGTCTCGTGGGGGAAAAAGGGTGATTCTTTGTGCTAACCCGACGATTCATCCATGTTCGTTGATTTAACATTGCGAGGAGAAAGTACGCATGCGCGGTCACGGCGGAGCAAATATTAATATTCATGATAGGAGGGGGGTTTTCGGCCACTTAAGACAAAATCCTATTTTAGGACTCTTTACTTCCTATTATCATTTCTTGTTCAAATCATGAAGCAAATATTATTATTCAAACAAACAAAGAATCCCAGAAAAAAAATCATGAATTGCCATGACAATATCCATTTCAATTTTCACTGTTTCGGAGACAGTTATCGACCTAGCGAGACAGTTTTCGGTCGTATGTACAAAGTCAATAGGAAGCGCGCCCGCGTCGTGCGTTTCCCCGCTGATCTATAGTACTAGCGGGCGGAGCAGGTATCCCGAGCCGGAGCTCGCCATGCCGAAAACTAGTTCTGCGGTGATCGGAAATTGGAATCTGAATTGGACAGAGATATCGTGTGTGCGTTGCGGTGTTCGGCTGCATTGATTTAATACATGCGATGAGATACTTTTTAGCTTGGGACTCACACAAAATCGGGCTCTAAATATGAAAAATACTTGAAATAAAGCTCATTTTATGGTACCCATATTTCTTACAGACATGCGTAAGATACTCGATTTTTCAGATTCGGGTAGCGGGACCGCTGATTACATCGCTAAAATGTGATATTTTAGGATATATTTTCCATTGCAAATGTGGTTCTTCAGTGACTCTGGCATGGTATGGCATGTGTGGAATATGTGATATGCTATCATGGGATGTATTTTAAAGGAATTTTACTATGCATCCAAAGGACCGGCCGAAAACTGGTGATGGTCGATTACCCCCTCCTTTACTCTAGGCGCCGTTTGTCTAAATTGCTGTATAGGCCTATATAAGAGGTTGAGAAGGGCTTTGTTTCTTCGATTCATGCATAGAGACTATTCAGCAATTTCGAGTAAACAGCGCTGTTTGAATCACTTTCATAAACGGGCTCTGAGCACGTTCGTGTACCCCAAATCTCTGGTAAAGGGGTACTTTAACGCAACAAAGTCTGGCCCATATTGACTTAAATAGGTTGTTTAAAAAATCTGGCCCGTATTAAAATTACACACAGGAGATAGGGGGTGCTTTCAAAGGGGGAGGTACATTTGTAGAGTGTACATGTTGCTAATATCAACTCATAATTTTCGCTATATTTGATTTGAGAGCATATAATACAATTCTACAATGTGCTAATATTTATTTTTATTTTTCAGGGTATCTTCGGCTGCGGGAAAGTCATCAACATGGACTGTTCCAGTGAACATGCAGTCTTGATTTGTAAGACTAAACTGTCCAACAAACTTCACGGAAATTATGCAAGACATGGGTGAGAGTTTGAGAATTCATCTGTATGGGATCCCTATAGAGGAGAGCTTTTCAAAATTATACCAGTTATGCTGACCAGCAAACATTCAGCAAGTACATCCAGTACAATCGACCCTGTCACCTTTGTTCGGTCGGAAGGAATCTGAGAAAGTAATCTTCAATACACAGCTTTTTTTCGAGCAAAACTTTTAAATTTGCCGCACAGATGTGACGTATACGCCTCTGTCTGTGTTGTGAGGACCCTACGTCACAAAAAATGTCGCGCAATGCATTGTGAGAGGAACCGGCTCGATCATTCACTTGTTTTTTGCTCATTAAAGCCTTACTGCACTCCTTTTAGCTACTTGCTCCCTCTATATAGAAAACTTCCCCAATCAGTGCCTGTTGGTTCCCCATGATCCTCTATTTCTTATGTTATTTGAGAGCCGAGTTGATGAGATAGCCACCTGTCAGTGATCTCACCGTGTGGTCTAATCCCTTCTGGCCAAACTAGTACAGATGGCCTTTAAAGACCGTCAATACTACTGGGCCAGAAGGGATTTGACCACACAGCGAGGTCACTGACAGGTGGCTATCTCATTAACTCAGCTCTCAACTAACATAAGAAAAAGAGGATCATGGGGGATCAACAGGCACCGATTGGGGAAGTTTTCTATATAGAGGGAGCAAGTAGCTACAAGTAGGACAGTGGGGCTTTAAACAAAATTATTAAAAATAAGTCTGAGCACCATTTTCCAAAACCAAGTTATTTTGGGGCTGTACAGATCTTTGTCTATCTAATCGACTCAACTTTTCAGTGGAGTGGACTTGTACTTTAACACTTATTAAAGTAAGGCTGTGCATAACCGTGTAATGAAGTACTCGAGTACACTCCCAGGCTTACAGTCGAATACTCGGACGCCATGTTTTTTTTGGTTGAATTTTGTTGATATTTTTTGTTGTTGAAGTGAACTTCTCTATGTATAGTAAAATTATACCTTTACCTTCACGCGTATAATTCATCAATACAAAATTTTAAAGAATTCTTTTTTAGAATATTTATTTTTGTCATGACATCTCATCAAAACTTTCCAGATAGCCTTGCTACTGGTATGACGCAGCACTTTATAGTCATTATTAAGCTGTTCAATAATGGTTCACATTTATCTGCCAGTTTTACCAGTATTTTATCAGCAAAAATATAAAAATGCTTGTTTTCGTGTTAGGAATATCTTTCATTCAGATTAGATTTACATTATAATAATTTGGTTTACACAACTGATATGTACATGTATACATGTATAAGCCCAAAAATTTGCCAGCGTTTGAGACTTTCCATCTATTTAGATATTCATGTTTAGAGAGAAGGTTGAGTTCTGGGAAGAGGTGAAAAAAAATTGTGAGCTTTATCATTGTATTATGTAAGTGTGGCAGTACATCAGATAAAAATGTGCCCTGAAAAGCATGGATCTTCAATCAAATGCCTTAATATTCTAAACATGGCATGTAAAATTATATATTGAGGTTCGATTTTTACGCCACATGTTCATGTAGTCCCATATTCACATCTTTCTGTGTACAGTGCTTGTAACCTTACCAAGACTAGACCAAATTTCTTATAATTTTGATGATTCCAGAACCTTGCAGTACACACCAATACTTTTATATGCTAGATGATCAACCTGTCCTGATCGATTCCACAACGTTTCTTTCACAATGCAATCGCATGACCAGAACTTGACTTTATTTTTAAGCTGTTCAATATTGGTTCACATATATCTACCAGTTTCACCAGTTTTAAATGACATTGTTTATTGTGCTCTTCAAACAAAAGCTGATGGAAGACCAAAGAAGATTGTTTTCATGTTACAATTTTTTTTCTTCTATTAAATGTGAAAATATCGAGTTACTTACTCATCCGTTCACTTGCCGATGCCAACAATTTTGCTAAAATGTATTCACTTAGTGTAATCTTTCATTGTGTGCTGAAACTAGCTTGTGTTCAAGAAAATATGTATTTGCTATAATTACTTTGTAATTAAGAGTACCGGTAGTAAGATTCCACTTGCCTGGTTAAAAGTCATCTTTAGTAAGTTTCCTCTTTACCATCGGATGACTTAGTTATGTTACATTCTTTTATATGTAACCTAGCTAAAATAGTCTAATTTTGTTCAAAATATGAGATTCAGGATTTTGGTATTTCCTAATGAGGGTATCTTAAACTCTCTGCGTAATTTTAAGCGTCGGAAATCATGTGTACATGTATGTAAATATGATATTTGTTTTAATCAAATGAAAATGATAATTTTACATCGTTTCAATAGACGCTGTTCTTTGTAGTGGCCCATTTTCTCCCTGACTTTGACTTTAAATCTGCTTCAGCAATGTTCTAAATCTTGGGTGCTCGTTTTGAGAGGGTTTACTTATTTGAAAAATTATGCACCATTTTAAGATATTGACTTCTACTTTAATGTCATGTGAAAATCAGCACAATCCTTTTTTTGACCTATTGGTCATTTTGTGGTGTAAGGTCACATATGACATTGTCCAGTATCGTTTTGTAACAAATGATTGTAACACAGTAACCCAAAAAAATTATATAAGTTTTCAAATGAACACATTGTTAATAGTTCCAAAAGTTGAACAAGATGGGCCATATTTCCTCTTTTACAATTGTTATACCTGCTTGTAAGGGTTTCAGGGTACATCCTATATTTATTGTTACTCAGGTTTAAAGTCTTTTTGGGAGGGGTGGGTGGCTTTTAGTATAGAAGTGGTTGAAATAAAAGGCTTTTAATTCTGATCCTTAGGCCATTTTGTTCAATTATTCAAGGAGATGGTCTTGTTATTGTGTGTAGGGAGGGATATGGGTGTATAGGTGTGAAAAGGCATTTTATAAACATATGTCCATATTGATCCAGTTATTTGCAAGATGTTCATTACCATTTGTAAGTTTGTTATGTTTGTCTCATTAAGTCAGTGTTAATTACAATTTTTTTCCCCTCTCAAACAGTACATTTCAATTTCAATTGAAGAAATATAGTTATAGGTTTTTTGTATCAAACAATTGCTGGAATTATAGAGTTAAAATAGAGACCATCTGAAATGCATTACAATAAAGGGTACAAACAAGAAGGGGAAGAACTTGTTTTGACTGACTAGCCAAATACCTATAATTGGGATACAACTTGTTACCTTTCAAACAAATCAAATGTTTGCAGTTGGTAAAATTATCTTTGTATATTTGTGTGATTTTTTAATAATAATAATAATAATACATAACATTTATTAGGCGCTTAATACTGATGTTTCTAAGCGCACAGTGGGGTCATTTTTTGGGGTCATGCCCTCTTTACAGTTTTTATTATTACAATATATGCAATAGGACCTCAACTCAGGAAAAAAAAAAATCTTGCATACTCAGATACCTTGCCATATTTGTTCTTATTACTGACAGCTTTATGGTGTTGTGGTCAGTGTAATGGTACTCTTAATTGAAATATTTTAGTCTTTCCTTTTTATTCCTCATTAGCCTATACCTCATACATATAAGCTTGCTAAGTGTGTGCTGTTTACAAACAGTTTACTAATTAACTTTTTATGTGTACCGGTAAGACAGTTTATTACAAATATTTATTTGAACATGCATAAAGTCTTGCCACTTTACGTCTAAAGACTAGGATGTTTAAACACATTTACATGTATTACTCTAAAACGTGTGTGACATATATTTTATTAAAAGTATTCATCTTTTTCAACACAATTTTTCATTTCTTTTGGCAGGTCATTCATTGTGTCTCCCATCACTGATATCAAACATATATTATGTATTTCTTACACATTTAAAATAGCTTCTCTTTTCTATAAATGATTTACATTTCAGAAGTTTCACCTTGGATTCACCATGGTTTGTACCTAAAAGCCATGGTGAAATTATGGTTAAACGACGGAGAAAACATGGTAATACCATTGTTTGACTGTACCGTGGATCCATTGTAGTACCATGTTATCAAGGTGGTAATACCATGGTGAAACTGTAATACTATGGTGTACTGTAATACCATGGTGAAACCATGGTTAAACCATGGTTTTACTGTACCGTGGATCCATTGTAAACCATGAAATAACAGGAGTAAATTGGAACAGACATATTATGGTAAAACCATGGTTTTACTGTAGTTTTACCATGGTTTTGCCGTGGTCATACCATGGTGAAACCAAGGTGAAACCATGGCTTTACTGTACCATGGATCCATTGTAAACCATGAAATAACAGGAGTAAATTGGAACAGACATATTATGGTAAAACCATGGTTTTACTGTAGTTTCACCATGGTTTTGCCGTGGTCATACCATGGTGAAACCAAGGTGAAACCATGGTTAAACCATGGTTTTACTTTGCGGTACTTTGCGGTTTAACCGTGGTAAAACCATGGTTTTACTGTACCATGGATCCATTGTAAACCATGAAATAACAGGAGTAAATTGGAACAGACATATTATGGTAAAACCATGGTTTTACTGTAGTTTTACCATGGTTTTGCCGTGGTCATACCATGGTGAAACCATGGTGAAACCATGGTTAAACCATGGTTTTACTTTGCGGTACTTTGCGGTACTTTGCGGTTTTACCGTGGTAACACCTTGGTTTTACCATGGAAAAACCACAGTTTAACCATGGAAAATCCATGGAAAATCCATGGTAAAACCATAATATGTCTGTTCCAATTTACTCCTGTTATTTCATGGTTTACAATGGATCCATGGTACGGTAAAACCATGGTTTTACCGTACCATGGATCCATGGTTTTTTTTTACAAGGGGATGAACAAGGATCAATATACAGAGTTACGAACATACATTGTATATTGTCAATTAAATGTTATCAAGTTTGTTAGACTTGAAAAGTAAGCCATTAAACTTGGCAATACAAGAAAATAACATTGAGAATTCCTATGATGATAAGAGATGTTATTCTTGCGTGTGTTACAGGACAAATGGTATATTCGGTGCGGAGGAGGTGTGGTCAGCGGTTGGCTCAAGAGTCTCCTGTTGAAGCAGACATCGTGAGCACCGTCCCAGAGTCTGCAACCCCAGCAGCTCTAGGCTTCTCACATGTGGTGAGTATCATTTTGTTTATTAAAGATAAACTCCAGTTCTGGTAAAAAGAAGAAAATTAATTCTTACAGAATCAAATGAAACTTACACTGAATGTTCAAGATTACAAATAAATAACATGTGCCAAACAATTTTGGAAGAAAATGTATACTGGCTGAGTAATGAGCATAGAAAGACAAGGAAATCAAGGTAGTACTAGCCCCGACACCATGTGTGTTGTCCCATATATAGCTTTCTGTGTACAGTGCTTGTTACTTTACCAAGACTCGGTCAAATTTATTATGATTTTGATGACTCCAGAACCTTGCAGTGCACACCAATACTTACATGCTACATGATCAACTGTTTCTGATCCATTCCACACCTTTTCTTTCACAATGCAATCGCATTACCAGAACTGGAGTTTATCTTTAAGATTAATCTGTAAAGCAAGAAATTTGTGTGTGCGTGGCATGTTTGTGAATTCTGTGTGTGATTCAGATTTGCATAAGATTTATCCACAAAATACATTAAATCAGAACTGACATAGTATGGATTTTTTTCGCAATTTGTGAAAGTTTAGTGTTGGCAAAATCTCTGTCATTGACATATATTGCAAGAGTGTCATATTTAGAGAAGTGCATTTTATCTAGAAAATGATCAGCTTTGTATACCACATACATACCATGATTAGAAACCTCAGATTGATAAAAACTATGTGCTAACAGTTTACAATTGATATCATAACTACAGCCTACAGGACAATGTTTAACACTGATGCTAGGGCAATACATGTAACAGAGCTGCCAACCATTCCGTTTTTGCCGGAATTACTCCGTTTTTTCCTCCAAATTACGGTATTACGTTTTTTCTTAATCAAATATGTTTTTTAATAATTTTTTTTTTTAATTTTTTTTTTAAATTTTTTTTTAACATACCGCACGTCAAACAACTGCCCTAAAATGGTGATTTGATCACAAATTCAATAGAAAACTAATTTTAAAATATACTTGAAGAGGAAAATATTCTTTAAAAAAATGGAATGCCGAAAATACCAAAATAACCACCAAAAAAATTACCTGCTTGTATGGAAAAAACAGCATGATGAATAAACATTTCTGCATTGGAAGTGTGTTGCGCGTGGTTGTAAGTTTTGTTTTTATAAAGTCCTTTTTTTTGCTTGAAATTCCTTTTTTTTTCCATCATGATTCCTTTTTTTGGTCGCACAAGGTTAGCAGCTCTGATGTAAATCTGAAATGCGTATACAGCATGGATGAGCTAATTAAGTATTGTGTTAAAATTGGATGTGTACTACACAAATAATATGATAAATGATCTCTTGATTGTACCATGCCCCTTTGCCTTCATCTTAAGGCAAAGCACAGTATCGAGATCACCTACGGAGGATAATGGTCTTTAACCATCATCCTTCACAGCAGTGGGTAGTGTGCATACATACAATTTTTAATCTTGACACTGTTTAACGGCCGTCTGTACTAGTTAAACCAAGGGGATTAGACCACCCAGCGAGGTTACTGACAGGTGGCTATCTCATCAACTCAGCTCTCAATTAACATTAAAAAAAGAGGATCATGGGGGACCAATGGTCACTGCTTAGGTATGTTTTCTGTATAGAGGGAGCAAGTAGCTACAAGTAGTACAGTGGGGCTTTAAAGGAGGTAATCCTTTGGGGATATAACCAGCTATGTGCAGCCATCTTATATCTTGAGCTGAACTCTATCCAACTGGTTCGCAACAATCAGACCGTTAAAGATAAACTTGAGTTCTGGTAAAAAAAAAAAATTAATTCTCACAGAATCAAACGAAACTTACTCTGAATGTTCAAGATTACAAATAAATGTCATGTGCCAAACAATTTTGGAAGAAAATGTATATTGGCTGAGTAATGAGCATAGAAAGATAAGGAAATCAAGGTATAGTAGCCCCGACACCATTTGTGTAGTCCCATATACATCTTTCTGTGTACAGTGCTTGTTACTTTACCAAGACTGGGCCAAATTTATTATGATTTTCATGACTCCAGCACCTTGCAGTACACACCAATACTTACATTGCTTCATGATCAACTTTTTCTGATCCATTCCACACCTTTTTTTTCACAATGCAATCGCATTTCCAGAACTCACCTTTATCTTTAAGCTTTCTTGTTCTGTTTTCAGTCTGGCATCCCATACATGGAAGTGTTGACCAAGAACAGGTATGTGGGAAGGACATTCATCCAGCCCAACCAGAGACTGAGACAGCTGGGTGTTGCAAAGAAGTTTGGCGCTCTCACAGAGAACTTCAAGGGCAAGCGCATTATCATCATTGACGATTCCATTGTGAGGGGAACAACGATTGGTCCCATCATCAAACTTCTAAAAAAGTCTGGAGCAAAAGAGGTAAGAAACGTATTCCTTGTATTATTTTATCCCTAATTAGATTGGGCAGGCTAAAAGTTATACATTTTATTTGGGATGGGGTCAATTAAGCATTTAAAAAATATCTTTTGTTCTTCTTACAGATTTATTCAGACACATGCTTTCTCCCTATTTCTGTACAAACATGCTTGGTTTGTCATTTTTGTCTAAAAATACCATACTCTGTTCCTTTTCTCCACATTTGTCTCTCTGTCTCGATCTGTCAGTCTGTAGTTATACATCTCTCCTGTTATCTATTCTGTGTGCCATTCTCGAATTTAACATTCTCACGCTTACAAATCTGGATACATATGAACTCATTCTTGTAATTTTAACTGTAAGGTATTTTAGTTTTAATATATTATTCATGTATCATATCCCCAGGTTCACATACGAGTTGCATCCCCACCAGTCACCAACCCTTGCTACATGGGCATCAACATCCCCACTAAGGAGGAGCTCGTTGCCAACCGAATCCCGGTTGACCGTCTGGCAGGTTACTTCAACGCAGACAGCATCGCATACCTGTCAATAGAGGGCCTCCGAATGGCAGTCACCGAAGGCATGCAGATCGAGGAAAGCAAAAAACAGAAGCGTCTTCACTGTACAGCTTGCCTGACCGGAGAGTATCCAGTCAAACTGGAATGGTGATAGCAGCACCTTGGAAGTGTGAGAGTGGCTACCATTAAAACAAGGCTTGCATTTGACTGTAGACCTTTGCCAAGAGACTTGTCTGCTGTTTGTGCTCCTTGCAAAGATGTTAACCCATCATTGTATTGTAATTTAGATCATGTTGTGTGCTGAGTCTGCCACTATCTTCAAATCACCTTCTGCCGGTGAACCTCTTGGCATCATATTATTAATGTAAGCTCAAGACTGCAGGGTGTTACCAGTAGGTACTTGACATGGAACATTCAGTGATATCATGAGACAAAATGGTGAACCGATAAACACTGATTAGTGAAGTGATCATTGAGACATTGTCCTGCTAATACTTTGCTGGTGTATTTATGTATTTATTCTTGCACTACTTCATGTATTGATAAGAGCACTATACTAACTACCCACTGGCATCCTACTGCTATATTTTACACAGTTGATGGTGCTCAGAGCACATTTAGGCTTGTACTCTGCTGCCAAGATGAGAATTAGATTTTTACAATTTTAGAAAGTCTTAAATCATCAGCATATGTAGTATAAAATCGTATGTACAATAAGAGCTATTTTGAAAAAGAATGTATCAGAGCTATGATATGCTCAATATGCTGTGAAGGTTTCTTGTACAGTATGCAATTACATGTATGTTAGTACTTGGTAGTGTGTGCTGTCACCACATTCCAATTATTGGTTTATAGAATGTGGTTTACGAAACAGCATTTTTTTCGTTAGGAGAGAGATTTCACCGCATGGGTAAAGTGTTGAGGTTTTTTTTTATTTCTTTCTATTAAAATGTGGATACCGGTAAGTGGATGCTAGTTCTTCTAATTCCTACTAAAGTCACTGGATTTTCAAAAAAATAAATATTAGATAAATCATATAACTACATTTACATATCCTAATATAACATCATATTTATAGAAAATAAATTGTGTGGCATGACACAAATAAATTTCTTGTGAGTGAGAAAATTAAAGTACCTGCAAGATTTAAAAAAAGGACATACCATTCAACATCATTACTTGTAGTTTAGGCTGAAGGTCTATGAAATAAACTCCAGAAATATGCTGCCAATTGGAGTTGTAATAACATACTTCAACTTATTTGGAAATGTATACAGTATGTATGTCCTTGTCCTTGCAAATATCAAGGGGAACAAGATTGTACTTTTACTTGAAAATAGTACATATTTTGCTCCAGATATGTTATTCCTGTTTTATTCATTTATTTTGCAACTGAAATGTATGTAAACCGAGTACTGTGTTTTTAAATGGAGTTGTACATATTTACTTGTCCTCAGAGAAAATTGTCAAACATTTGTATATCTATGTTTCATTGAGGGTCCATTATTTTGTCAAGACATGTTTGTATTCATCACCCTGTTTCTTATCAGCTCTGATGAAATGAATTTGTTGTAAAGATTACAGTATTTATGTGGAATTTTTATTTGTCAAACCTGTATAGAAAGACCATTCAAGGGAGACACAAAATGTGGTCTTTTGGGGTAGGTGGTCTGTTCATTCATGTTTTCTAAAAGGTATTTTTAATGATGAACATCATTTCAATGGAACCAAAAAAATGTAGTCCTTATTGCCAGGTGGTCTTTCTATGCAGGTGGTTGCTAAAGCAGGTTTGAATGTAATATTATTCATTCAATTCTCAATGTAAATTAAACTGTAACTGTAAATGAAATAAACAGTTATACAACATTTGTGTATTTCACTATAGTTCCAAGACCCCAGACCTAACCAATCTTAGAATTGGACCTCGTCTATGTCCCACTGGGTCTAGGATTAAGGATACCAAGACTTAACCCGATCTAGCCCGGGGGGGGGGGGGGGGGGGGGGGGGGGGCTTTAAGTGTGTGACATAACAGAAGCAATTCTTAGCACTAAAACTTGCTCTATTGCAATTTCTGTTGTTGACAGTGTTGTACTCGTATTTTCAGAAGAAAGTGGATTGAAAGAAAGGAACTATGAAGAAATTTCTAATATTCTGATTTGCAATTTAGATAAAAGAAAACCTTTGTAAAGACTACTGACACCAAACAAGCGCACAAAATTTGATATTCCTTGGGTTTTTTGCACGTCATCATTCTTATATCTTTGTATTGTACGTGTGTATATATGTGTTCAGAGAAAATGTCATTAGGTATAGTGTAGATCACAATGTTTCAAGCAAGCTTTATTCTTTGTGCAGATATTTGATATTATGGTTTGCATGTGCAGTTGTACAGTACTCCCTGAATTCGTTTTTAATTGCCTGTATCTGTTGTAAAAGAAGTAAAATTCTGTAGTCGTAAGTAATCATAAAAATGACCTGTTACTGTAAGGATTGCCAACCACTCACTATTTGCTTTCATTGAACAAAATCCTTATACTAAAAGTATGCATATTATAAAATAGCATCGTTTTGAGGTTTGAAAAAGTGAACTGAAATTTTATTTTAAGAGTAGTCGGTATATATTTCCCTTAAAACCAGAAACATTTGCCACTAGAAACCTGTGATAAAAGTATAAGAGATGGCTGATTTGGCCATTCACTTTTGCAATTCAATTATATTGTGGCATGACTCTTTTGTTCATGATTTTTTTTGTTGATAGTTTGGTTTTACAGTATGTAACCACTTTTTTGTAGGTTTGAAAACTATATTTGTGCAGCTGGATGGATATGTTTCCACTTTGTGGTAATGTGTATTGAGCAGCTAAAATTATTGAAAGTAAATACATGTTGAGCTATGCTTAAAAGTATTCATTTATTTAAAAAAAATACAATTAGTAAGTAACATAATGCAACTCTAGTCACTGGTATAATAATTGCGGTGAGGGAACACAAATGGGGAAAAATGCACTCCATGGATATATTTCATTAGAGAAACATTGAATGGAGAGTTGATACAAAAGTACTAGGTCTTTACAAGTTTTATGTGAAAAGAGTGAGTTTCATTTAGGGTAGAGACTGATTCTAATACCCAGAAAGAAATACAGAAGTCCTGAAAATACATTTATATTTAATATGAAAACTAAACTACAGTTTTAGCTTGTTGAGCTAACAATTTGTTTGCAGTACTGTGCCTGTACACATGTTACATTTGATGTCAAGTCACTATAATGTTCTTTTATTCTGTACCTCGGTCACATTAGTGAGGCTAACATGTGGGCCCTGTTTCATAAAAATTGTTATCAATAACAAATGCTAAATTTCTATGACAAATTTGCTCTCAGCCAATGAGATGCTACAATTTCATTAACTTATAACTGTTATTGTATCCTGTTGATGATATCAAGTTTTATGAAACGGGGCCCAGGCTGATCAAAAAAACATAGCCCCCAATTTCAATGAAGCAGTCGATGTGGAGTCATCGTGGAGTCATCGTGGAGTTGGTTTGGTGGAGTTGGTTTGGTGCTGTGATTGTGGTATTAGTGTGGATATGTTTAAAGTCATTTTTCTTCTTGCTTGCCTTGTTTTATCATATCAGTGATTAATTACACCTTATGCACAATTGTTTGGGTTTTTGGGGGGTGTATTTTGTATGTTTATTTTTCATTCATATGGCTGTGTAAATTGACAGCTCAGCACAAGTTTTTATAATGAAATTATATTGTAGATCTATATGCACCATTATATATATTGTGTGAAATTAATGACTATTTGTATTTCATCGTTTATATAAGATGGTTTTGGACTCATAAAGGAATGAATAACTATCTCTCTTTGAAGCTTTATATAGGAATTAGGTTGATACTACTAACACTTTGTTTTGAGAATGTTGATATCGCAGTTTTGTCTTCATATGAAATAAGAAACAAACCAACTATGAAATTAAAAGGTTTGTTTTGAAAATGTAGAGAAAATAGGCATGAACTACACCAATAATATCCCAATTTACTTTTGAAAAATGGTTCTAGCGGTATTAAATCTTGCATAATTAAATACAGTCTAAGATATTGATTAAGTTACATACATTTATATTGTTTGAGTCGAATTGAATTTGATTTAGCCGACACTAAAAATTTGAGAGGATAACGGCGTACATCTTGTCTGTTTATTGCTAGATCTTGATCCACTGACCATTTAAAATCATGTCATATGGTTTGGAAGTCCCTTTTCTGTCCTTTGTTAATAGAGTGTGAAACATAGAAAACACATTAATCCTGTCAATATTGGCTTATGTTATTTTGTTCAAAGAAACATGTTTTATTAAATGAATTATTGAATAAATGCAGTAGATTGAAGCTTGTTGTGAAGAACCTCTCTATGGTAAATTTCGAGATATTTGATTTAATGTTACATTTATTTATGCAAGTCTTTTTTTACTTTATTTTGTATAGATGTAGGGTTCTGAATATTGAGGATGCAAGAATAGTTTTGTTGTAAATGACAACATATTTTGCAGATTTTACCTTTGACTTATGTTATTATGGGTTATGCAAAAATACACTGACTCGTTTTAGAGTTATTGAGTTCTCGCTGTGCTGTACACAAATTCTTCCCTCTTTTTTAAAAATGTGATTGCTACACTGTAAATCGATATATCTGCCTGTCTTCATAAACTTATAAATCCTTTACTTTGCCATCTGTTACAACTTGGAGTTGCATTATTCCACTGTATACCAAATCACAATATTTTTTCTGCCCTTCTCTTTGTGATCAATTTTGACCTTTGAAGCAGTTTTGTGTCTGTCATTATTTGTTTTGTTTGAAGCTTCACTGACTAGGAGATATATGGTTGTGAATTAATAAATGGATTGAAATCTCTTTTGCAATAGATGTATACTGCATTATATGTTGTTCATACCGTGTGATCCCTCCCCCTCACTCCAAAAATAATCAGATAATATAGTAGAAATAACACAGGATAAATGACATTTGATTATTATTATTATTATCATTATTTTTTTTCTAATTATTATATTTTTATGACTATTATTATCATGAAGATAAAAAATATAGCTACATATTGAGAAGCATTATAAATTCCAAGAACTGAGATAAAAAGAAAATGTATTTACTGCATCCCATCATCTTCCTTTCTACTTTCGTTCCTGTCCCCCCCCCCCCCCCCTCCCCCATTGGCTAGAGGGAGGAAGATACTCCCAGTGCATTGCCTGAGGGACCCCCATTTTATTTCCATTTCATGAGATTTGGAGAGTATTTCTAAGTTAAGCACTATACATCTAGTTTACTTTTAACGATCTAACACTGTTTATTAAATATAATAGATCTTGATCTTGTGATCTAAGCCTCCTGCCCTAGATCCCTCTTCCCAAGATCTTTTCCTTTAAATGTTGAGATACCCTATACCTCCGGTGCACCCTCCTCGCCAAGTTTATTTGATACCGGTCCTAGTCGTCGCAGTATCGGCGCCATATTGAAACTCTTAGATGGACCGATACCATCAGTACTGCAGTCTTAATATATCTCCAACTTTTTTTGTTTTGTTCAAGCAATCGGCACACTAGCAAATGCGATGATGTAAACTCTCACTATTTTCCCTTTTTCCAGGTTATCTCCTCATATCTTTACTCAGAAAAGCAATACAAACAATAATTGCCATCTGACTATCTGTAAACAAAACTACAAGTTGTAGATAGTAGATAAATTCAACTGTCGCGTAAACATTATCTCAACCCCCTCCCCCTTTCTCTCTCTCTCTCTCCCTCCCTCTCTCTCTCTCTCTCTCTCTCTCTCTCTCTCTCTCTCTCTCTCCCTCCCTCCCTCCCTCCCTCTCTCTGGGGTTTCCGTTGCCCTTTCTCCGAATCAATTTGAAATTTGGCACCGGTTTTTTAAATTGAATTTTGTCTTAACAGGAAATTTGCAATCATAGCTGGTTAATGTAAAAATCCTTAACTGAAAAAGGCAGAAATCTAGCTATCAGCAGAATTGCTCCTTTAATTGCCCCTTCAAATGTGAAAGTGGTAATTAGCCGACAATTAGATGATTATCTATGTTTGGATTAAGCAACATTGCTGACGAACTGATTTTTTTTTTTTTTTTTTTTTACCAAACCCCGGGGGAGCACGGGGGGGGGGGGGATCCCCGTACTTAATAATTGTGCCCCTCCATGCCAGGGACTTTCTCTATAGCATACCGTATACCCATCCCCATCACTATTGTTTCCAACATCCGGATGATGACGCCAAACTCTGAAAAACCATGGACAAACGAAGGTCGTTTGTGTATTTAATTTATATGAATGGGCAGGAACGAATGAGTGTGATCTGTTTACGTCATCGATCGTGCACGCGCGCGCGCACGTATGCGCATCCATTTATTTATCACAAATGAGAACAGCGAAGTTGGAAGGACTGGTACTAGCTAGCTCATCATCTCATGTGATTTATTTTTTGTTCGACCTGATTCTTACCTGTAAGTTTATGATTTCAATTTTCCATGCATTCAGCGCTTTTATATTGTATAGCTGTCATGTATAGATAATTATTTGTAAAGCAGATCCTAAAATCATGAAATTTAAGGTCTAACAAGTTGAACCATGATTGAGTGTATGTGGAGCGGTTATTACACTGTACATGCACGGGAACCTTTGGGGTGTGATGCTTGGTGCTGCCCCCTTCGAATC